GACTTACAGGGTCCGTGTATGAAAAATCATCTGCAAACTGAAGAACATAGTTTCCTGAGAGATGATAGTTGTTATGAACAATTAAAATAAGTAATTAAGTACGGAAAAAGAAATGGACTGGGATGAACCTAACCATAACTTTCACCAGCCTTGCTCTTAGACACAATATCTCTAAGATACTCAATCATTTTATTGGCTCCTTCAGATTCACATTCCTGATTACACAGTCATAAGGAAACTGAGAGGGTTTTACAATAAAATAATTACTCAGAGACATGTTACAAGTATCAAACACAATCTTACTTCGTAGTCGTATCTGGAAAAAAAGTTCCTTCCATATGTCGCCCAATACTCTTTCACAACATCTGCAACAGACACCAACTTCTCCCCTTGGTTCTTGTCCTTGTTGCGATGAGCTAGGATCGAAAGCCATGCCAAAACAGCCCTGTCATTAAGGTTAGAGTCATCCTACAATGTAAAAAAGCAGAGTGGTATATCCAAAGCTACGGAATGGAATTGAAAAAGCCATATACGCAGAAAGCTTCATGAACCCAACTTCAGTGAAAACAAGCATTGTTTATAAAGAAAGAAAAAAACAGAGAATCATTTCAATGACACGTTAATCTTAGTAATGAGTCTATAGCCCAAGGATGAAGTAATTCATGGGTGGTTTTTACCATAGAAAATCAAAACTATTTATCGATTTATGTCAGAATTTTGGGAGCTTCACTCACTAGAGTACCAGAAATTAGGATGTCATAACATTTCTTAAAATAACATGATACAATGCAGACGCCTTTTATGCTCCTACCTATTATCTGGATATACCACGAAAGATGTACGATCTAATGAGGCTACTATGAAATATTTACTCATGGGTGGGGCAAGCTCGTTAAGACGATCACTATCCTAGATAAACTGAATACATTGCATCAAGATCTTGATAAAATCATGTCAAATGCTGGTTTTTATCGCATATCCACCCAGTTGTTAGGGAACATAGGGTCAAGGAAGAGAGTACCATATGCCATCCTTCTCACGGATGTGATCAGAACCTGTGCCAAAGCTCTCTTCTCCACAGATTGACAATTTTCCAGCATCCATAAGATTTCCAAAAAATTTCCATCCAGTGGGAACCTAGAAAATACAAGTTACCTTGTCACAATAATTTTCCTGATTATTTTACCCGGTTGCAAACCTGGAAAATACATCTGTTGACTAAAAATGGTTGACCTCGAAGAAAGGAAGCTTCAACTTCTCGGCAACACGATCAAGTGCACCACTTGTTGGCATAGAACGTGCTAGCCCCTGAGAATAACATTGACATCCATTAATTTTTAAGGGCACAATAGTCTACATCTAAAAGGAAATAATGAACTGCAATTTATGCAAAGCAATCCCACCTTGGGACCAGCACGGAAATATGGAATTGCATCTTGTGCATTGGCTGCAATGATAGCAACAGAATCTGAAGGAGTGACAAAGAATTTGTTTCCTAAAACCATATTTCTGTCACCATCACCTGTCAGAAAAATGCACTATTATAGTGACTAAATTCATGACCAATTTTCTTAAGCTAAAAAAACAAGAATATTTGATAGTTATCTGTCCACAATAATACCATCACTTGCCGCTCCAAAATCAGGTCCATCGTCACGATACATGACATCAACCAAATCCTTCGCATATCTATATTTAAGAATGTTTATAGAAGTTATATACTAAGTGAGTATGGTGAAACCTCTCTTCAGTTTGTTTCTTACGTCAAATTAGGATCTGGATGGCCATGCCCAAAATCTTCCAGGGGAACTCCGTTGGAAATTGAATCCTACAAAACATGCCTAACATCAATCATCTGAAATCTATAGAAGTTCAAAACTAAATGTGGTTTATTTTAACGTTCAAGACATACCGGTTTGGCTCCAAGATTATCGACAAATATTGGTTTCGCATAAGCACCAGTAACAGCGTGCATGGCATCAAACATGAACCTAAAGGCAAGGTTAAGAAACCCAACAAAAAAAAACATCAAATCAAATCCTATAGTTTCGGCTCTTAGCACGGGGAAGGACTCTGCCACCACAATGAAGGTGCAAATAATAAGGACATCAACACCCATTGAAAGACATAGAAAGCTTCCAGCCTGTTTGGCTCTAGATATAAGGACATACCCAAAATCTGATCTTGAAAGAAGACCTCTGATGAGATCAAAGTCGAACACACCCTGCATAAAATACCATGTACATATCTAATATCTAACATACCCAATATCATAAGAAAAGAAATGAAGAAGTATGTGAGTAAATTCTTACCTCCATGAGCTCCAGATAATCAGAAACGGGATCTATAACTTCCACACTGAAATTCCCATATTTAGTAACTCCAACATGAGAAAGATTAATGTCTGGAATCTCTGCCACCTTAATCTCAGAGATCTAAACATGTGTACCAGAGAAAAGAGACCATTATACAAAGAAGGACTCTACAATTTCGATGATCATGAAGAGAAAACTTGACTAGATACTTACTGAAAGTGTATTTCCATAAATTTTGTCAGTAATGGTTTCAGGAGCCGGCTGACCACTGCTGTAATTGAACTGGGAATTAACAAAGATCAGATAAAGTGATTCATTATTATCTATTCTAATCTCCACAAATTGCCAGAAAAGCTGATAATGAAGTATAATTTATCGCCGTTCAAGACCCAAATCTCAACACATGATGAATTATAATCAAATTAAGCTTGACAGATATTAAGGTTACAGAAAAGAAAATATATGTAAGGGCATGTCACAGATATTGCACCTTGATACCCCAGTCATATTCAGGTCCACCAGGATTGTGACTTGCACTCATAATAAATCCTCCATTTGCCTGAGAGAATTCTTATCAATATTGCGTTACGGAAACTTCATCTTGAGCTTGTTAAGAATATATAAATAGAAAAGCTTGCCTTTCTTTTCCTGATTACAGCAGAAACCGCTGGGGTTGACAAAATGCCTTCCCTACAATACAAGTATTTGGTTTTCAGCTCAACAACTTTTTTTCTAAAAAAGTTAAGAGTCTCGATGACATGAAAAATAGTAACCCAAAGAGGAGCTGACACTGACAGACTAGCTCTAAAACTCCATTCAAGTAAAAGGTTGACTTGATCCTAAAGTTCTATACAAATAGCTAGGGAAGACCAATCTTTCACAACTGTATTTCCATCCAAGAAACTTGAAATGGCTAAGGAAACTCACTTTCCAACTAAGATTTGCCCGACTCCATTCCCAGCCGCAATTTTGATAATGGCCTGCAAGAAAAGCATGGCGCTTCAAGAATGAAAAGAGTTAAGATAACTTTTGGACAAACAAGGCACTGGAAAAAACCTGTGCAGCCTCTTTGTTGAAGTAACGACCATCACCTCCTAAAACCAACGTCGCGTTCTTATAGTCCTCCAGTGGCAATGAATTAAACAATGCCTAGACCACAGAATCGATTAAAAACTTTTCCATGAAAAAGGTCATCCATTCTAAATTGAAATAACACTGGAGCTACGAATCAGAACCTGGATCCAGTTGGCTAGATAATTCTCTTGCATGAAAACTTTCACCTGGAGTCATAAATATCCAAAGAAATGTAACTCAAAACAGTCAGATTCAATTATCTTATTTGGACCAAAAAATCAAGATTTGTTAGATGGCTCTGCTCAGCATATAGATGATAACCATAGACAACATCATCATATAAATGATTACTTATTGGATATATTGACAACAAGGAGGAACAGTAACATGCTATGATAAAACTCAACTTGAAGTTGTGATATAATCATCTTCTTCTTTTTTCACAAACGAGGAAGAAAAGCAGTGAAGTCACTTGAATACTTGACCATTTAAAAATCGAACCACCATGGAGATTTGATAAGCAGTGTGTAATATATAGTACCTTCTTCCGGAGGCCACTTGTTCCAGTCTTCTGCCCCTCGATGGGCTTCGTCGGCAACGATTTAATCTGTAAGAAAATTTCAAAATCAGAAAAGCAATGAGGAGTAAGAAGAAGTGATTCAGATGGAGCAAAAACAACCTCAATGCCTTCAGTTCCGGCAACGATCGCCCCAGACGATGAAGATGAGGAGGATGCTGTGATCGATTGCAAACGCGGATTCGGCTTGGTTGTTCTAAGGTGAATCCCGGAAGAGAGAAGAGAAGTCGGTGACGGACACAAGGGCGAGTAATATCTGGCGTTGCCGGTGAGCCTAGAGAAGAGAAATACGGTATCGAATCTCGCACAGGTCGACGCCATTGTTGATTTTGAGGTCGGCGAATCGATCACAGTCGCAGTGAGAAGTGTCCGTTAA